TGGTTTGTTGCTGTTGTTGGTCTTACGGAGTTTTGATTTTGTCATAATACAACCCCAAAGTAAACTTGAGATGTGTAGATCCCATGGACAAGCAGATTCTGGGCTCCCACTTAACTCTAGCCCCAATCCAAGAACAGTTCGTTCTGATGGCATGGCTCTGCTCGATACTCACCTTGGCGAAATGACCACTGAAGCTAAGGCTGTTACAGCCCAGTGGGGAAGAGAGCAGATGGTGCCCAGCTAGCCCTCAGAATAGTGCCTGGGGTCTTAAAGGCTTGCACTCACACAGGCAACCATCTAAGTGAGGAGTCCACTAAGTTTACAAGGAAGAAGCATACCGGCTTCTGTGATCCAGAGATGAGAATCACAAAATTCAAATATGACAAGGGGAAAAGTATCAGAGCTTAAATGATGAACACCCAATTGGTAGAAGTCTATAGAGACAGTGGGATCCCAAAACCCATCTGCAGAATAACTAGTCAGATGAAGCCACGGGCAGACCCCTACTACCCACAGGCAAGGGTCTCGAACAGCCTCACTGTCAGACAGCGATCACTGAAACCTTGATTATGCTGGATCGAACTTGATACTTGGTCAGCTGACCTCCTTCTTGACCCAACCTGAGCTTGTTCCAGGTGCAGGGATCTCTGGAAGGTGCCGTGACAGAAATTTCTCCCCTGGCTTTTTAAATGTTGGGGGTGGTCTTTTCTTTCTTACTCGTTATTTATAGTTTTATCTTTATCTTAGTATTTTCTCCTTATCACTTTATTTTGATTGTTTTTTATTGTTTCTCTTGGGTTTCCCAGTTTGTAAAGCACAGAAGGCGTGGACACATGAAAACTGTGACTGATGTAAGGGTCACAGAGGACGTGGGGGTGGAGGGTGGGAGACAGGGAGGGTGAGGGATTTCAAAAGGAAGCAATGAAGAAGGCGGGGGGACAGGGAGCACTAGCATGGATTGTGATTACACAACACATTTAAAAGACAATTTCACCATGGGGGGTGGTCCTAAAATTGATTCGGTGGAGAACATTAAAAAAATAAAATATGTAAAAATAGATATGTATAAAATAAATAAATAAAAATAAAATATAAGAGAGAGGGAGAAAGGCAGTCATTGGAGTTTTGCTGCCACGAAGTGCCACGCCTGGAGGCAGCAGGAGCTGGGAGGGAAGGACGCTCGTCTCCCGGGCCTTTGGAGGACAAGTGGGCCGGCCACGTCCTCCAGTCGGATTCTGGCCTCCAGAGGCCTAAGAGAATAAACGTGCATCGTCTGAAGCCACCAGCCTGGCCCACAGGCGCGGCAGCCCATGCCAGCTGTGTTTCAGAAACTGTTACAAACTGGTGGGCTCACATGTTCACTTCCCGTTTTTGTTTCGGTTTCCTGATCATTCTTCTTCTTTTAGTACTTTTTTTTTCTTAGCTCGACAGTTTGAAAGTGTTAGCGAGTTTTCACTTTGGGGCTGCACGGCTCAGTCCTGAGCACATGGCTGCTGACACGTGTTGCAAGGCTGACGTGGACTCGCCGGTGCTGGGAGGGGCCCGACACCTGCTCTGCCCAGTCGGGTCCGGCTGTGGGATCCAGAGAAGAGAATGGCAAACCTCGCAGAGCTCCTCACTCACCTGCAAGTCCTGCTGCCTGGCTCGCACGTCCTCCATGGCTTTCTTCGCCCCGTTGATGTGACCATGCATGACCGCCAGCTTTTGTTTCAGCTTGGTCTGCGGAGAGAACCAGGCAGCGTGAGAGGGCCCCTCTTCACCCAGCCCTAGCGCAGCAATGACCCCCTAAGCCTGTCCGCCAGGTCTTTCTTCCACTTCACTCGGAACCTGCCGAGGCATCCACCCCGGCTGCCTCCCTTCTTTGTTAGGGGATCGGGGCTGCAGAGCAGCGAGGAGCACAGCCCCAGCCCACTGCGCATGCCCCCTGCAGCACTATCCCCAACAGCCGAAAGGTCGACACAGCCTGAAGGCCCTCTCAGGGAATGGGGTCCAGCCATCCAATGGAATGTGGCCCAGCCATCAGGGGACAGGAAATCCTGGGACCTGCTACAACATGGATGAGCCTTGAAAACAGTATATTGAATGAAGGGGCCAGTCGGTCAAATGTGCTCTGAACCCACTGATAAATAGCTGGGACAGGCATGTACCGGGAGAGCCAAGTTGACTCGTGGCGCCAGGGGCAGGGGTGGGCAGGAGGGAGGCGACGTGAGGAGGAAAGAACACCTGCTGCTTCGGGGACACTGAACTCTGTGAAGGATGATGGGAAGGTTCTTGAATAGTACTGATTCAACACTGGAAAGGATGTGCCACTGGGCGGTCCGTGGAAAGACTATCAAACAGCAAATGTTTTTGCTGGCTATACACTTACCAAGGGGGCCTGACTGTACTGTGGGTAAGGCCCCAAGGTCAGCCGTTCAAACCCACCAGCCACTCCTCTGGAAGAAGAGGATGCTGTCTGCGCCCATAAAGCATTACCGGAAACCAGAGCAGCAGACTTCCCACCCACGGAGCAAGTCAAGTGGGTGCTTTGCGGAGTGGGGTGCCCCTGGGCACTTCACTGGGGGAGCTGTACTTGCTGACCCCCTAGAGCTGGCTGAAGGTGAGTGCCTTTGCCCTGAGGCTCCTGGCACAGTTGCCTGCCCTTTGGTACTTCCTGGAAGCCCTAAAAGAGCTTTGTAACATTGTCGGAGCACGGCAGGGACCAGGCCATGTGGCTGCGGGCCAGAGAAAGGCCTGTCTGTGGTCACAAGACAGAACAAACGGTCCTGCTGGAACAGCTGTATCCTGAGTATTTCTCACCCGAAGTGTCACCTGTAAATTTCCCTGATAAACCCTGTATTAGTCTAGGTACTTGGGAGAAACAAATCCACAGCA